TGATGAGACTTGGAAACGCTGCCTCGTGGTTGGAAATGCGAGTCCTGAGCTCCCAAGATCTACGCAGTGTTCCTTCGTGGACAGATGAGGTGCCCCCGGGTCGGTGATGGGAAATTTCCACTCTTGGTTAGACATGGGCTCGGATTGAGTCACAGCCAGTCACGGACAATGGAAATGTTGTTCTGTCCTCAGCCGCTGCCGCCTCTCCCCCGGCCCCTCCCCCTGCATTGCTGGGATTTTTGCCATTCTTGGACCCAGGCTCCAGGAATGTGACCATCAGGTCGCTACCGAATTGCATTTTCCCTCCAGGGGCTCCGTGCGCGCGCAGTGGGGATGCACGTGTGCCCGGCAGGAGACAGGCCCCTTCCTGTTTCCCTGCCTGGGAACCCAGCGATGGGAGCGCGTTCCCGCCCGCCCCATTGTTCCCTTCCCGGGCTGAGTCACAGGTGAATGCCGGGGACAGGGAGCAGGAGGCTCCCGAGAAGCTCAGCCAGGCCGGGGAGGAGCAGGGGAGATCGCGTGAATTATTTGCACCTCGTTTTTGGCACCAGGGATGGCTCTGAAATCAAACCTTTAACTTGATATGTATATGCATTTAAAATATATATTTTTATTGATTTCAGAGAGGAAGGGAGAGGGAGAGAGAGAGAGAGAAGCATCAGAGATGAGAGAGAATCATGGATCGGCTGCCTCCTGCACGCCCCACCCTGGGGATCGAGCCCGCAATGCGGGCCTGTGCCCTGATGGGGAATGGAACTGTGACCTCCTGGTTCATGGGTCGAGGCTCAACCACTGAGCCACGCCGGCCGGGCTGGGTTCCGTGGGTTTGTGCCAGGTTTGTGGATCTGGGTTAAGGTCTCGGGTTTCCTTGAGGCTGGATAGGTCGTCAGCAACGCGTGGCCTCGGGAAGAGAAGGTGCTGGGAACAGAGGCCCTTACAGGACAGACAAGGACAGACGTGAGGCAGGAACCGGAAGAGGCCCTGAAAGAGAGATCTGCACCCGCCTCACAGAAAGGAGGCAGTGATGCCTGGCCGGTGTGGCTCAGTGGTTGAGCATCGACCTAGGAACCAGGAGGTCACGGTTCGATTCCCGGTCAGGGCACAGGTCCGGGTTGTGGGCTCCATCCGCAGTGTGGGGCGTGCAGGAGGCAGCCGATCCATGATTCTCTCTCCTCATGGGTGTTTTCCAGGTCCCTCTCTCCCTCTCTCTTCCTCTCTGAAACCAATAAAAATATATAAAAAAGAAAGAAAGAAAGGAAAGGAAAGGAGGTGGGTGATGCCTCGATGCAGAGCAGGTGCTAGACAGGCACACAGGCAGGATGGAGGGGATGTCGGGGAAGGCCCCATGGGGATGGGTGTCTCCATCTTGTAAGTGAACCGGAGTCGCTTGCTGATGGGGGATGGGTTACGTCCTGGAGTCTCAAGGTGCCTCCTGAAGGACACTCTCGTTCCCTACCCGGCTTTGACAGCCAATCCAGAGAGAGATACAGGCATCGGGTAGATAGAGATAAAAAAAAAATACCGGCTTCGTTAGTCATTCCTGTTGGGCGTGGAGGGTGTGGTGCCCTTCTTGCCGAAGACACACCCCAGAACTCGACACACCTGCTCAGGGCGCAGGGACCTCCCTTTCCCACAGGCAGACCCAGCTTCCCTCGACGCCGGCTTGGTGCACGAACAAGACAGAGGGAGCCCGGCCGGCGTGGCTCAGTGGTGGAGCATCCATCCAGGAACCGGGAGGTCTCAGTTCGATTCCCGGTCAGGGCACATGCCTGGGTCGCGGGCAGGATCCCCGTAGGGGGCGAGCAAGAGGCAGCCGGTAGAATATTCTCTCTCATCACGGATGCTTCTGTCTCCCTGTCCCTTCCTCTCTGAAATCAATTTAAAAAAAAAAAGGAAAGGTAATCATTAAAAAACAAACAAACAAAGGATGAGAAAGCCAGGAGATGGAGGACTTCAGCCGTGCTCCTTGTGCAACCTCCCGCACGTAGGTAAGCCCAGTCGGGCTCTGCCCCGGGCGGCCTCCCCTACAATTAACTTGAAAGGCAGCCCCGATGAAGAAGTCGGCGGAGTTTAAAGAGCTGGGTGGAAACTCGGGGCTGGGTTCGGCGCCGTTCTGAGGGGGATGGCGGCACGTGAAGAGCCGACGGCACAGGACAGGAGTTTTAACAACCGGCTGACCGCACAGCTCCCAGGGGCGCGATCGCCGGCCTGGAATAAGATGCCAGGACAGGCCTGGGCTCAGAGCTTGATGTAGAACACCGGGGGATGGTCCGGTTCCGACCGGGCCCGGGACGCCCACTCTGGCCTCAGAGACGCGGGGACTCTGGGCGTGCGGAGTTGGCCTTGGACCTTGTATGTTGTCACAGAGAAGGGTCTCTGAAAGACCAGTGAAGCGATGCCACTCATAGGGATCCTCGTGGAAGTTGCTCTGAAAGTCCCCCCAATGACTACAGTGCTGTACCTATTACTTGAATGCAGTGGAAAGTGTTATTTGCGATGCTTTCAATCTAATTTAAATATTTCAATGTCGCCTGGCCAGGGCGGCTCAGTGGTTGAGCGTCAACCTGTGAGCCAGGTGGTGCTGGTTGGATTC